ATTCTTTTGTTCGTTAGGGAAAAAAAGCACATTTTTTTTCTTTTGCCTTATGAGTTTCAATAAGAAAAAAAACATCAATATATTCTGTTTCTTGAGTTAGACATCAGTAGAAAAAGAAAAACGCATTACACATATTAAGCAGTTGCTTGAAAGAGAATCAAAAAGCAGCTATTTTCAATGAATATTTATCCGATATTGTTGCAATTTTTTCCTTATTTACATTATAGCTTTTAAAATCTCCTTAATGAATCCGACAATATCAACAACGATGAGTAATAACGCTAATGCAAATATCTATTCTCTTTAAACAGCTATTTGTAAATTTTACTTATATATCAAAAAAAAATGAAAAAACAGCAATTGGCTTAATTCAAACACTTTTCTACAGGTAAATATAACTGAATTTTGAAGCCAACTTTAACTGATAAAGCTCAGAAAAAAAAAAGCTTGTTATGTAATTTATTGGTGCTTTCAGCTATACTTCACTAACGATGTATAAGTACAATATAATTTTACCGAATCAATTATGAAACAAAGTGAATATTTGAAACAGTTTGAATTTTTATAAATAAAGTAAAAAACTTGTTGAGTTTTTAAACAACAACGCAGGCAAAAGCCGGAAAAATTAATTTGGCAACCAAATTTTTCTTAATCTCTAATTGACGCTGTTAAAATTTTTCAAACAGATAAAGTTTAAAGTTGTTTGAGAGATAAGTCAACAAGCTGTGAAAAGATTTTCAGCAATTTAGATTGTTTCTGATGACATCTACAAGTCAACAATTGCTGTCATATCTGAATAAAAGCACAGTAGAGAGGTATTGAAAAAATATGCACAGTTTGATGAAGACGAAAAGTTATTCGTCATACAATGTATCAAAAACCAGTTTTTTTTTGCCAAACGAACTAAGAATGGAAAACTTACTCAAAGAAAAAAGAAGTAAAAGTTTTGGTGTAAAATGAAAAAATTCGGGTACACTGACGAACCGAGAGTAAGGGAACGAAAGGCGTAACAAGTTGTTGTTCTATAAAATTATCAAATTCACATAAAATCTTCGCATTTTTTTCCTGTCATCGAAATGTTGCTTTCAATAATAAATATTTATTCATTTTTTTGTAAAAACAGAAATAGACTTCTGCTTCAAAATAAGTTAAATTGAGTTAAAAAATAATC